GGGAGGCTATAGCCCCCCCAACCCTCCCCCCTCTACTTCCGCCCCAGTGCACTGGGCTCCAGAGCCCCACCCAGGTTTTGTGCCAGTGGCAGCTGCACACACATGTCTGGGTAGATGGCGGTGCAGCGGCCTGAGGCAGCACAACCCCAAACACCCACCCAGCCGAGGTGCAAGTGCAGTTGCCACCAGCATGGAGGTAGTGCGAGGGCTCTAGAGCCCCGGCATCAGCTCTGTCCTGGCAGTGACTGCACACACGCCTCAGGGCGCAGCATGGAGGAGGGGCCTGAGCCAGCACACAGATGCATGCCTCTGGGTAGATGGCAGTGGCGGGGCCAGGGTTGCACTGCCCCAGCCTCTCCCCAGCCCTGCACCTCAGTGGATGGTGGGGGAGGGTCTGGGGTTGCACTGCCTCAGGCCGTTCCCCCGCCATCTGCCCAGAGCAGTGTGTGCAGCCACTGCTGGGACAAAGCCTGGCTGGGGCTCTGGTGCCTAGTGGACCGGGGCCATGCTGGGAGGGTTTAGGGGGGCTATAGCCCCCCCCCATTCGCCTTAGCCTCCCTGCCCCCCCGTCCCCCCCAAATCACCCATAGCCACCCCTTCAGTACAAGTCGGGCCACCACCACCCACCCCACACAGCTGAGGCTGCCCCTCCCAGTGCTGCCCAGGCCAGCCACCCCACCCCACCCCATGCAGCTATCCCCTTCCCTCCCAGTGCTGCCTGGGCCATTGCCACCCATCCCGCGCACCTGAGCCCGCTCTGCTCCCACCCTCAGCACAGCCGCTTGTTATATAACAGCCATAACATTGTATATGTGGCTTGAAATGCAATCTCTTTGAAGGGAAAGATTATCTGCAGCCTATAAATAAACAGTAAAAAAGTGAAGCATTTAAGAGTGCTTTAAGTATTTAACATTTTTTATCATGTCATTTCTAGCTTCAGTGTCAGAGCAAGGATGGCTGGCTGTCCCCGGTAGGTTTGCTCATGCATGAAAACTTTACTATCAAAGCACGAAAGAATATGTACTCCCCTTTCCAAAAACACTGTGACAGGCTTGTGGGCAGATATAACATAATATCAAAGAAGCAAAAACCCTGTGCTTTTCAGTCTGTGTAAAACTTTATACAATTGCAATGAAAAAAAATGCAAAACAGCAGTGCTACTGTTTAGAAGAACTGAACTAGAATTTTTTGCAATGTTTTGCCTGTGAACAGTCTGATTTTACGTGATTTCTACAAGTGATATTATATCTTAATTTCCATCCAGTTATTCAAGAACTGCAGCTTAAAAAAAAAAAAAAAATTACTTACGAAAATAGATCAAACCACTGCTGTTTGGTGACAGATTCCTGGCGCAAAAGCTTCAGAACAATGGGGCGCATGGAATCCCATTTGTCTTCAAATTGAAGTGAACCTTTATTCTTTACAGAAAGAAACAAAAAACAAAATTTAAATGCAAGTCAAGTAAAAATGAATCTAAGTCTGTTATGACAGTTGGAGCTTTTCACATTTGCTAATATATCCTTTTAACGAAAGTTCAGAATTACTACAGCAATAAACTAAGCAAGCAAATGGATATACAATACTAAATAAAATTCAGACAAAAACTTCAGAATTATAACCCGCTTTAAAGAACTATAAAAGTTACCTTTCCTCACACATTAATTTATATATTCATGTAATATTAATGCCTTCTTGGCAAACATTTTAAATTAAATGATTGATTGTATATGAAAAAATAAGTCATGCTTACACTAAGAGACAAACTTAATATTGCTATTTAAAATAATTTCTAAGGATTGCATAAGATGCCACATACTTTTCTATCAGTGAGAATATTACCATCCTGGTCTCAGTAAGTTAGAGATATATATAACAAAATCTGTATTGTATTCAGAATACAGCAGTAATGATGAATATATTTTAGCCATTAGATGCGTCACACATTTAAATAATTCCAAACTATGAATATTTTGTGATATAGTTAAGATGCCCAAATTCATTTAAATAAACTTAAAAACCATTTACAGAAATTATACAGTTCTGATACTAAGAATGACAGTCTTAACTCCAGAAGCCCAAGGTTTACTAAATGTTCAATTCAATCAGTCTTGAGAGATAATGTAACAGAAACATGCACTTCTCCATAAAAACTGAATAGAGAAATCAGGAAACACAAACTTAAAAAAAACAAAACAACACCCCCCCCCCCCCCCCCCCCCAACAACTCAACTCCTTGTTGCATACATTTGAGAATCAGGGAAAAATATAGTACAAACTATAACTCCAGTCTTAACCTATTTTTTCTGATCTTGGAGTAGCATTCAGAGTAAGAATCAACATAACATGAGGCACTGAAATATCATATAGAAGATATTCCCTGTCTGAGGGATCTTAAATCACCCTTAAGTAAAACAATTAAGAAGTTTGATACATTCTTGACAGACTCAGTCACCAGTGTGGCTTGACCTAGGCAATCTGGATTTTCTTGAGAAGTTCTGTATTAATTATTCAGAAAATTATCATGAAGCAGGTACCCGTGCTAAAATGCAACATGTGGTTTTCTCCAAGACCCAGACTATTCCCAAGAGTACAAAATTTAGTGGAAGTGACAGTTCTCTGAAATTAAATTGCTTCTAGCTAAAAAAAATGATTTGGTAAAGTTTGAGACTGACCACTTACAGTGTGGCAAGTCAGAGCACATTCATGCTTTCTTAAAATGGTTAATCTTTCTCAATATTATAACAAATACTCTGCTCTCCCCATAGGTTGGGTGTCCTTGTTGCGCTGCATTCTTATTTAAGAAAAAAATTGTTGCCATAGGAACAGTTTCCTATCCTGAAGGTTTACCAGTTACTGTCCTTCAGATTTCTACAGGCTCATTCCTCTATCAAACCACCCAGGAAGCCAACTTCTTAAGGCATTTGTTTCATTAAATGACCAGTGAATTATTTTTTCTTCTTTTGCACAGAGGTAGGTCAGTAAATATCCATACTAATAACCTTATTGTTACATTATTAAAAGAATTATTTAAAATATAACCACAAGAATTACTAATTGAAAAGTATTCAACTTCTTGGGCTCAGTGGACAATGCAAATTATAATTGGGCCAGATCCTGTTACAGCAAAGGTGCACGGAGCATAGTTTAAAGGAAAGCAATGCAAGGATGGTTTACAATCACATAACTGCTGCATATTTCTTGCACCTTCTACCCCCTCCTACCCCCCGCCCCAGTCCCAGGATCACCATGTAGGGCTGTATCCAAGCATAAATGAAAACAGGGCCAAAATGGCAGCCAGAAACCGGCAACCATACTTTTTTTTCCAGGTACACAGACTACACTGGTAGCACAAAATGGTGGATGTGGAGGAAGGAAAAAGGATCATCTACATCAGGGGTGTCAGACTCAAGTGGGTTGGAGGGCTATCTTCTAGGCCTGTGCGAAGCAGCAAGTATTTGGCACTGTCCCGATTCGATTCAGTCAATTAGGATACGGAGATTTGGCGCCTATTCAGAGATATGGCCATAAACTATACAGGCAGGAGTCCTTGACGTTAGACACAGCTGCCTCAGGCTGGTAAGTCTGTTGTGGTGGGCGAAGGGGGGAGAGAAGGAGCGTTGGGGGGTAGGGCGCAGATCAATGCCTCCACAGCAAGGGAGGGATTGGGGCTGGGACAAGCTGCCCAGTGGGGGGAGGGGGGAGGCAGCCGCCGCAGGACCCTGGCAGTGGGGATCCCACCACTGCACGCCGCCAGTCCAGGAGCTGCTCTTCTGGTGGCTCCTCCGGTGGAAAGTTGCCAGTCCAGGAGGGCATGGGAGCAGGTGTATGACCCTGGATCTGCATGGGGGAGGCTGGGCTGTGCTCTGGATGGGCAGCAGAAGGTGCTGGGAGCAGGGGTTATGCCCTCCCACGACTCACCCAGCCAGGGCAGGAAGGCACAGGACAGTGCTGCTGCGCTGCCTCAGACAAGCCGCTCCAGCCTCCCTGTGCCTCCCGGACAAGCTGAGGCTTTGCCCCAGCTGGGCGAGCAGTGGCAGGTCATGGGGTCAAGCGCATGCACCTGGATTGGGGTGGGGCCGGCAGTAGGGGCTACAGGGAATTTTAGGGTGGCTGCAGCGCCCTCATAGCCTCCACTCCACTGCGCTCTGCAGGGTGGGCAGAGCCAGGCCTGTGCTCTGGGCTGCGGCTGGGGCTAGCCTCCCAGAGTGCAGCCCAGTCCAGCTTGCCTTGTGCAAATCCAGGGGCACATGCTTGCTCCCATGCCCTCCTGGACTGGCGGCAAGAGCTGCCAGAGGAGCCACTGGAAGAACAGCTCCTGGACTGGCGGCACACAGTGGTGGGAGCCCACCTCCCCAGGTGGGCAGCTTGTCGCAGCCCCGATCCCTCCCTCACTGTGGAGGCATTGATCTGCCACACCCCCCATGAACGCCTCAGTGGTATGGCGAGTGGTGTGGCAAGTGGCAACTAGTGACTGCACGCAGACACCACCAGCAGTGTCAGCAGCAGGGGGGCAAAGCCAAGCAGCAACTGCCCACAGACGCTGGCAGCGCCCAATCTTAGGGGGTGCACATGCACACAAGTGTACCCCCTATGTTTTGCCAATGCCCCCCCACGCTCCTTCCCTCCCCCCTCTGCCCACCACAACAGACTTACCAGCTGGAAGCCGCTGAGTCCAGCGTGGTCAAGGACTGCTGCCTGTTTAAGTCTCTGGCCAAATCTCCGAATCGACGCTAAATCCCTCCAAGTCGATTCTGGGGGCTTCCAAATCAATTCAGATCATTTAATGAGGCTCCCAATTTGGATTTGGATTCAGAGATTCAGCTGCTGAATCGGGCCGAATCTCCTCCAAACTGAATCAGCTACCAAAACTCTGCACAGCCCTTCTGCTCTTTTCAGGTGCCTGCAGGCTGCACCCCAGCAGCACTATGAACAGAAGTGGTGGTCCCAAGGCAGCAGCTAGCACCCTGTGTGTGAGACCCTGTGCCACCACAGCCAGAGTCAGGGCTCCGGCCATGGTGGCAGGATTTCCCATGGCAGCAGTCCATGTACTAGTGTGGGTGGCAGCCCCAGCAGCACCACAGTCAAAGTACTACCAACACTGCTGGAGCCCTAGTTCTGGCTGCAGAGGCAAAGCTTCCTGCAGCAGCAGGAAACGTGCTGGTGAGAGTCGAGGTGCTATCAACCCAAACATCACCATCGTTTGAAACTCTGCCATCAGGGAGCTTTCACTGGGGCACAGGTAACCCTAGCTGTACTGTGGTCAAAGGCTCCACCACAATGTCCAGAGCTCAGGCTTTAGCCATAATAGCAGGCCTTCCCACAGCAGCTGCCAGATCCCCAGCACTGCAGGCAGAAGCCAGTGTCTGCCTCTCAGTGGGGTGCTGACAGACAATCTGACCAGTACTGTAGATTCCCACAGTGGCAGCTCACATCCTGGCGAGAGCCAGGACACTGACAGCCCCAGTGGCACTGTGGGTAAACCAGTGGGCTAGAGCCAGGGTCTAGTGCGGTAGCAGGGCTTCCCATGGTAGCAGAGTGCTCTGGTGAGAGCCAGAAGTGCAGGCAGCTCCAGCAGCACTATGGTTGGAAGCTCCACCACTGCAACTGGAGCCTGTTGAGCTAGGTCTTTTGCCCCAGTTTTGATAACAGTGGCAGGGCTTACAGTGTTATCTCCCTGAGGCAATGGCTGCCACTGTGGGCAGCCCCATCACAGCCAGAGCCACGGCAAAATTCTGCAGGGTGGATGACTCGAGTCAGTGGGCCAGATCTGGACTGCAGGCCTTGTTTGACATCCCTGATATACATCAAAGCAGAACTCCCACTAGGGTGATTTTCCAATATCAGGCAACAACAAGGATCTACCTACAGTACAGTACAAAGCACCTATATCATGCTGGAGAATCAGTCTCAGTTCAATATTCACAAAGGTACACAGACGTGCTGATGCTGGACTCTGGCATCTAAATCTGGAAACAGAATTGACAGTCTTGATTCCCTATACTTTAAAAAGGGAAACATTTAATGCCCATGATCAAGACTCAAAACACCCAGCACACTGAATGGGGAAATCCCTAAGCTACACAAGAACTACCAAAGAGTTTTACCTGAAATCTTCTGTCCCCCATAGTTTTGCTGCCTACGCAAGACAGATTCCCAACCCATAAGCCTCTCAGGTTGAGTAAGTTCCAGCCTACATCTCCCACTACCCAGGAGAATGTCCCAGCTTAAAGATCAGGCTGGGATGGAAATATTTTCCCCACCTCTTCTTTCAAAGCTGGCCCACTGCACAGAAAGGAATGGGGCCCAAGAAGAGTAAACATGACTAGCCAAGCAATAAGGATATTCATCTATGATGGGAGAAGTCTTAGGTTCTCATTCTTGCTTTAGGGACTGCTTTGGCATTAGTATAGTTCGATGA